TGTAACTCATCAAACATTTTGGGGCCACTAAAATTGGCAATTGGCCCCAGAAATTCAGAGGAGCCTCAAGTATGCATTGTGTGCAGGGATTTTGTGTGCAGGGATTTAACCTTGCCAACACCACAATCTTTTAGTGGGTATTTAAATTCCTATTTAAAGAGCGGTTTGTATCGCTGGCTTCCAGCACCGCAAAGAGCTCCTCTAAAAGTCTGAGGCCCCTAAAATGTCCCCTGAAGATAGAGGGGAGCCCTTGGTATCCATTGATACCTGGTGTGAGCAGGGATTTAACCATGAATGCACCAAATATGCAGGACGTTCTGACACACTACTGGCTTTAAAAGGTTAATACGCTTATTCAGGGTTTGTCACAACAGTCCCTACTGATTCCTTCCATAATACACCATGTAATCCTGACTGTACAGCAACATAGTTATACGGTTATAAGCTTAATTATACCGCAAATGTATATCGCATATACACTGCTTGATAAAATATCCAAAGTAAGTACATATTTTATGATATGACAGCCACTCTGCATTCTGTAACCTGATGCACGTATATTAATTTGTTTATTTCTGTCACTGCACTCAAGGAACAGCTTCTCATACTGCTACTGCTAATATTTATCAAAGGAACATTATAGCACTAGGAATGCAAAGCTGTATTCCTAAAACTATAGTGTCCCTATTTAGAGCAGTGTACTTCTCTGCCCGCAACGTCGTCAAGGAGGCATGGCTTTCTCAGATGATGGTCCATTGTAATGACTCTCATAAGATTGGAAAACTGATGCACATCCGCAGTGAGTGCCACGCGCATGTTTAGCTTCCCTATACGAAGCATTGTCTTCATTGCGTTTCCGTGTGCTGCCACGTAACAACATTGCACTCGGTCAGTACAGCGAAAGATTCACTATAGTCGCGTTAAACTGTTCAAGGTAAAAATTGTTCTTTCTGCAAAACAGCAATGTTTTCACTTGAAGGGTTAAACATTCAGGACGACTGCATTGAAATGATGGGGTGTTCTTTTTAACCTATTCTGCCATCACTGCATTTCCAGTACTTTAAAGTATACCTTCTATCATGCTCACTTTGTCCTTTACGAATGTGCTCCCATCACTGTAGCTTCTTACTGATATCTGGAAAGCTTTTATGTTAATTCCATTTCCACCATGCTCCCTGCCTCCACACTTCTTATTTAGGCAAAATGTTTGGATTTTTGCAGTTTGCTTGTTTCACTGTGGTCAGAAATGCTTTATATTGAATAGGAGAGGAACTCCTGAAAGCTTGTCCCTAAACATTTGTTAGTAAATGGTATTACAAGAAACTGCAATACTTAATTATTTTGCATCATATACATTCATTTATAATGCAGCAACACTTACTGCAATGTTGCACAAAGCGACTGTCCGTTACATGTACTGTTGGACAAGTCAGACCGCTTTTTATTTATTTATTTATTTTCTTACTCTGCGATTATCGGTCCAGAGCACAGTATAGTAATCGGATAAGCTGCCCTATAGACTCACTATGCAGCTTTGGATCGAAGGCTTTCTAAAGTGTTTTATTGTGGCAGTTGTTGTTTTAGTGTATCCATGAGATGCACATGCCCAGTGTCTCCTCTCACTCCGTAATGCCAAAGTGGCTTCCACATGACAAGCATGTGATTGGAGCGCAACTGTATTACAGAAGGCATGTCTTGGATGTAGATGGATAGGAGAGGGAGCTAGTTATATTGCAGAATGTGTGTGTATATGTACAGTTGCAAGAAAAAGTATGTGAACCCTTTGGAATGATATGGATTTCTGCACAAATTGGTCATAAAATGTGATCTGATCATCTAAGTCACAACAATAGACAATCAGTCTGCTTAAACTAATAACACACAAAGAATGAAATGTTGCCATGTTTTTATTGAACACACCATGTAAACATTCACAGTGCAGGTGGAAAAAGTATGTGAACCCCTAGACTAATGACATCTCCAAGAGCTCATTGGAGTGAGAAGTCAGCCAACTGGAGTCCAATCAATGAGATGAGATTGGAGGTGTTGGTTACAGCTGCCCTGCCCTGCCCTATAAAAAACACACACCAGTTCTGGGTTTGCTTTTCACAAGAGGCATTGCCTGATGTGAATGATGCCTGGCACAAAAGAGCTCTCAGAAGACATACGATTAAGAATTGTTGACTTGCATAAAGCTGGAAAGGGTTATAAAAGTATCTCCAAAAGTCTTGATGTTCATCAGTCCACGGTAAGACAAATTGTCTATAAATGGAGAAGGTTCAGCACTGCTGCTACTCTCCCTAGGAGTGGCCGTCTTGTAAAGATGACTGCAAGAGCACAGCGCAGACTGCTCAATGAGGTGAAGAAGAATCCTAGAGTGTCAGCTAAAGACGTACAAAAGTCACTGGCAAATGCTAACATCCCTGTTAGCGAATCTTCAATACGTAAAACACTAAACCAGAATGGATTTTATGGGAGGATACCACAGAGGAAGCCACTGCTGTCCAAACAAAACATTGCTGCACGTTTACAGTTTGCACAAGAGCACCTGGATGTTCCACAGCAGTACTGGCAAAATATATTCTGTGGACAGATGAAACCAAAGTTGAGTTGTTTGGAAGAAACACACAACACTGTGTGGCGAAAAAAAGCACACCAACGTCAAAACCTCATCCCAACTGTGAAGTATGGTGGTGGGGGCATCATGATTTGGGGCTGCTTTGCTGCGTCAGGGCA